CTCAGAGTCACAGGTCTTGTCCAGGGCTAGATTTCTTCATCTAGCAAATGTACGTTTTAGGCAAACAACTGTTACAGTTCTTACAGTTAATAAGATTAAGAAACGGATGGCAGGCAGTCTGTTCGTGTGTGCAAATATTCTGATAGAGAAAGAGGAAAGCTGACATCATGAATTGAGGCTGGGAAAATGGAGTGGGGAATGTGCTTGCTACATTGAGAAAGTAGCACCTTTTTTCTACTGAAGAGAGCTCACCCTCCAAGGCTCAGTACTCCATAATCTTGCTCCATCTTGTATTTGTTTACCCAACGTAAAGATATTCTTGGTATTTCACTTTCTCATGCCCTTTCCCATCAATTAGACAACTGCGTCAGACTGTAAGGCTGAGCAGCCACTAATGGGATGAGACCCAGACACTACCTTTGCTACAACTAAAACTTAGTGAACTTTCTGCTTTGGTGTGCTTGTTAGCCTGGTTTTGATCATGATGCACCTCTCATACTGCAAAAAGAAAAGGCCTTGCCAAATTTATTTTGCTTTGTGTTCTCTTTGTGTATCCTAAAATTATTTCTTCCCACACAATGTAAGACTGAGGACCTAAATTCAAATCTTCAGTTCTACATAAAAAGGGTCAGGCATGATTACATACGTCTTTAACTCTAGTATAAGAAGGTGGAGGCAGGTGGATCCCTGAAGTATGGGCCAGGCACTGATGCCAATTGGTGAGCACCAGGCTCAATGACAGCCTGTCTCAAAAGATAAATTGGGAGCAACAGTGAAGGACACACTGCACAAATACACACAGACACACAGATAGACACACACACAGATGTCATGACTATATTGATGGAGGAAGGTCATTGGCTAATAAAGGAACTGCCCTGGCCCATTTTATTGGTTAGAAGATAGGTGGGAGGAGAAAACAGAACAGGATACTGGGAGGAAGAGGAAGTGAGCTCAGAGACTCCACAGCTCTCTCGGGAGCAGACGCCTCAGAGAGAGACGCCATGCCCCGCTCCCGGGATGAAGCTCCGACCCAGGATGGACATAGGCTAGAATCTTCCCGGTAAGCGCACCTCGGGGTGCTACACACAGATGATTAGAATGGGCTAAATTAATATGTGAGAATTAGCCTAGAAGAGAATGGGCCAAGCAGTGATTAAAAGAATACAGTGTCCGTGTAATTATTTCGGGGCATAAGCTAGCCGGGCAGGCAGCTGGGGTGTTGGGGACGCAGCCCCGCTGCCGCCCTTATTACTTCACTATATCAATCAGTACAAGTGCTATGAATAAATGGAAGAGGGGTCATGCTAAGGAAGAGTGGTGATTGGGGGACACTTTTAACAGTTGAAGGAATAGTGACTGATACAAATGAGAGCTTCATATCAGCTCTTGGTCTGCCGCCACCCTGTTCTGTGATTTTAACTCTCTAAGCCTCCATTTCCTTCTCTAAAAATGCAACCAGTAACAAATACCTTATAGGGTTTGCAAAGTAAGAAATACTACGAGAAACAAGAGGGGCTTTTATCATTGTCATGTCATGTCTAAACCTGCAGCTGCACTGGGATATCACCATTCTGCTTTGGGGCTTTAGAGTTAGTTAGACAGGTTACAGGGGCCTGCTGCCTTCGTGGGTGCTTTCTTACCTGTCCTTACAATCTACAAATCATTTCAACTGAGCTCTCCATTCCTGCTGCTCCTGATGAAGTTCAATACCATTATCACTTCTTTACCTGGACTGGAACACAGTCTCTGAGTGACTTTGCTGTGTCAGTCTTTTCTTTTTTATTCTGTTCTCTGCATTGACTTCTCTCAAATGTAAATGTGAGAATGCCTATAAAATCAACAGGCTTTAGCCAAAACTCCCAACCCAGCCAAAGCCTTTGTGCTACTGTCAAACAGAAGCCACCATCATACTGCTTTCTGCCTCTGCTTCTGCCTCTTCACTTACCTGCCTTATCTTTTACCTGATGCTTTATTCTTGCTAATTCTTTACTACATTCATTCTGTATCTTTCATGTGCCTAGTTCTGTTATAGGAGTGGATTTGAGAGGAGAACGGTTCAAAGTCTCCAGCCTAGAAGCTTTATATTTGAGGATGAAAACAAAACAGGAAAGAAACAGTCTATGTCATTGCATATAGTAACATATGCTATGATGGAAAGAAAATAAGACAGATCACAGAATTTTACTTAAGGGGTTACTCTGGGCCACCGTTAAATGAGAACATTTAAACATGCCAGGCAGAGACAAGGTATTCTAGGTGGTGGGAAAGCACACAGATAGAGGACCAATGGGGAAGTGCAGCTGGTACATGGCACTTGGGAGAGACTGGGGTGCTGAGTGCTTAGACCTGGAAAGCCTGGATTCTCTGCTTCACCAGGGGTTGTTAAGTGGCAGCTTGCATATAGCTTAACCCTGAGAACACAGGGGTGCAGGTGATGGGTAGACAGTCACAGAGGAGATATGATGGAGAACAGAGTTTACACTGGGCATTTGGGACAAAATTCCAAGCAGGCACTCAACCATCATTGCTGAGAATAAACTCTGATTTTAGCAAAGAGAAAAGCTGAGGAAAATGGGGTGAATAGAAACAGTGCTTCTCAGAGCCCAAGAGATTCGAGTGCTTTCTGACTTCCCTTCTCTGTTGCCAGCAGAGAACTGTAGATCCTGAGGAGTCTAGGAGGATACAGGGAAAAGCATGAGTAAGTAGCAAGTTCACTGGGGTTCAGAGGTGGTATTAGCATGTGATCACTTACTCCATAAAAGTCAGGAAGGTCTTCCTACCTTCCACAGGGAGTCTAAAAGACTTCTCAGGACACCTAAGGCAGCTATAAAAGCCTTGCCAGTCTCAGAGGAAAATTCTAGTTTGAGTTACTCTTACTTAATTTATTATTATTATTTTTTTTTTAAAAAAAAACCTTTGTCAGCTCACATGTCCATCTATCTGGTCATTAGCTGCTATGTCTTCTTCTCTGTCCCACCCACTAGTCCCTACCCTGTTCTCCAAACCAGTCTTGTGTCTGTGGCACCAGATACATCATCTGCCTGGAATGTATCTGTATCTCCCTTATTTGACTACAGCTGAGTTTCTTGTCAGTTAGGTTTCAGTGTCAATTTTACCTCCTCATCTCCAATTTGCTGCTCCCCAAACAGAGAATCTGCCTGGCTTTTCACTAGTCATTGCTATGTATCACTGGTTATTAGCTAATAAATTTTCCTCACAGCTTGGGTGGTTGGGTGGTTGGTTATCAATGAGCTCGCTGTGTTTTCCTGCTATGAGACACAAACTCTGAGGGAGGCACTACTGTCCCTTCCTTCTTCCCTTCCACTGTCTGTCTTCACAGATTCATTCACTTATTTTCATTTTAAGTTTTTAAGTATTTGCCTGCATATATGTATGTATGCCACATGCCTACATTGGCATAGAAGCCATAAGGGGGCATCAGATCCCTTGAAATTGGAGTTATAGATGATGACGAGCTGCCGTGTGAGTGCGGGAATGGCATCCTTTCCTGGTGCAGTCACTATACTTTACCACGAGCCATATACTCAGTCCCCCTTTCATCTGTCTCAGTGCTCAGAATGAGAAGAACACTCTCTGTAAGTGCTTCTATACTGAATGACTGAAACAATTTCTTCTGTGTCCGATACTGAGGACCTTGGGAAAGCTAGAAAAAGATCCGTGTATTTTGTTAGAATCTAATACACAGCAGATGCTGAGCATATATGTAATTTCTTGCCCATTTTGCAATAGAAGTATTAGAGATACAGAGACACAGGGTATCTTGTTTGAGGTCACATAGGTAGAAATGAGAAGTTTGAACAAATATTCCAGAAAAGAAGCTGTACTTGCAGACCGATTGAGTGAGGAGAGTGTTAGGACTTTGGAGAGCCTGGAATGTTGCATGCCTTTGAGGCTAATTACCTTGGGCTAGTTCTAACTCTCCAGGACAGCCATTCCTTGTCTACCTCTGTGAACTAACATCTTGTGACTAATAGATTAAAACCTTTTACAATACTAGCTTCCACTATCCCAAAAGATAAGAGAGCATCTTCCTATAGAAAAGCTTCCCCCATCTTGCTGTACCTGCTTCCCTGATGTACCCACTGATGTATTTTAAACTTGTCTTGATTTATGATTATTTTTGTCTTGTGAATTTATAAAACTTCATAAAACTGCTTCCACATTGGAACACGGATTTTGGGGTGACTCAAATTTGTGTTCCTAGGCTATGGAACTAAAATTGGCTCAAGAAACTTTTTTTCTCTTTAAGATGAGACCTGTGTTTTTTGTGTCAACAAAGGTAATGGTTAGAGTTAAAATCAATTCATCTTGATTCTATGTTTCTGTTGCCTTTGGCTACCATGCTCTTTTTCTATATCCTTAAGAGTTCAGTGTTAGTCACAGCTGGCATCATTGCTTGCTGTTACCATGGGCAATTTGTTTAATTTTTCTACTTGAACTTTTTCAATAGTAAAAGAAGAACTAAACAAAGAAAAATGAGTTACTACATATGAAAGAATAGGAAATAACAATAACAACAACAACAACAACAAAAGCACCCAATATCTTCAGCTATTCCTGTAACTCTTCACTTAACACTTTCCTTGCCCAAACCAACTGGAAAAAAGCCAGTACCTGTTGATGTCTCCCTCTGTGTCACCCTAGGCTCCAGTCAATGAATTCTGTGCCTTCACCACCACAAGCCTGGGAATTTCCTGGCCATGAAGCAGACAATGAAAATCTGATAGCTTGATCTGCCTGAAAACTCATTCTGACCCATTCAACTGAGCTAATGTCTCCTATCAAGTCCAAATTGATCCACAGGAAGTGACCAGATGATCTGACCACTGTTCCATTGAGCTATGGATTGATTCTATGGCAAGTAAAGGGTCTTGGTCCTCAGTGTATAGTCCTGAGCTGATCCAAATCCCAACAAGGACCCAAAACAGACAATGGAGAATGCGGCCAATCTCTCCCACTATCTGTTGAACACTCACATTTTCACTGTTGACAGCAGTTTCGCTGGGGCAGCCAAAGAGCTCCCTCCGCAGGAGGTTGCCATCATACTCAAGAAAGGTCAGGTAGAGGTTACGGAAGAATTCCACGTGTTTGTTCTTCACACGGAGCTTCTTGGGGGAGTTCCAGTGGATAACCTGAAGGGCAGCAAAGAGGCTGTCAGATTGAGAGGGCCACACAACACAGCTCTCTATGGCTTTGGACTAGAAGAGCTGTGATCTGTACGTCTGCAGGTCATTCACTCACCTATTGGTTCTAAATGTTGAGAGGAGTGGTAGGGAACCAGTGCTGGTGAAGGATCAAATCTTGCCTCTGTTCTAAGCTGTTGTTTAATCACGGGAAAGTTCCCTTATTTTCTGTGTCACAGGAGCATACACGGTTCCTGTGTGTAGAGACTGGGACTCTTCAACCAAAAACTGTTGGGTGATGCAGACAGTTCAGGACACCTGATACCTGAGGAGGGGAAGGCATAGCTCTTCCCTGGAGGTTCCTGGTACTGAGAACATCATGTGGCTCTTCCACTACCAATGGTATTTCCATGGTCCCTGCTTCTCTGTCCAGAACAGCTGCCTGACATTGCTGACCTCAAGGGTGTGAGTTTGAATTCTCTCCATATCTTTTCTCTCTCTGTTCTTTAAGCACCACACTGTTAATTGCCCCCTACAATTTCTGATTTATGTTTCATTTAGGGGCCAAGTCTATACTTTATGTCTGGTTACTAGTTCTAAACATTGAATTCCCTGTTTAAATAATTGTTGAGATCTCAGTCTTCAGCCAAGACTGAGTGACAACCTCATAGAACTACCATGAAAAGTAAACACATTAGCATGCAAATCTGGCATTGGGTAAGAACTCACAAAGATGTTGTTTCCCTTAGCATCTGTAGATGTCCTAAGGAACATGACCCTGGGAGCTGTCCATAGACTATACATAGCCCCCCAATAGGGAGGTAGAAGGCACAGTGCAGGAAAAAGCATTGGAGATAGCTCTGAAATACTCTATAGAAGCATGATAGAAGATGCCTGTTTTGGAGCTCAGAGGAGAGAAACATGGTTCCCAGGAGACATGAGCTAAAGTGAGACATGTGAGGAAGATCACGCTGAAGCATAGTGTGGGGCATAGAAGATCCAGTTTTGTAGTAGGAGGTTTCTGTCCCACCCTGTCCAGCAATAAACACACAGAAACCATATTATTTGCAATACTGTTTGGCCAAAAGCTTAAGTGTATTTCTGGTTAACTCTTAACTCAAATTAATCCATCTCCATTAATCTGTGTATCGCCATGAAGCTGTGACTTACTGGGTAAAGTTCCAGCATGTGTCTCTGGCAGGGCTACATGGCTTCTCCCTGACTTTGCCTCCTTTTCCCCAGCATTCAGTTTAGTTTTCCCTGCCTAGCTAAGTTCTGCCTTGCTATAGGCCAAGACAGTTTTGTTTAGTCATTAACCAATAAAAGCAACACATAGACAGAGGACTTCCCACACCACAGCTGGGCTGACCTCCTATACCTGAGAAGTCAACATCTGGAACTCAGATAGACCTGACCACTATAGATTCCAGAGAGAGAGAAAGAAAGAGAGAGAGAGAGAGTGCAAAATGACATGAAAGACCCCCGTCCAGCTTGCTAAGCAGCTTAGCACCAGATGAAAGACCCCCCGCCCAGCTTGTTAAACAACTTAGCACCAGTAACGCCATTTTACAAGGCTTGTACTGAATATTCAAGGTTTGAACAAAGGGCAGTTTAGAAGATACCAAAACGAGATAGAGACACCTGTGGCTGGGGGAGGAACGGGAATACCAAGAATGTGGCTAGGTCTGCCCTAGATAAGAGCCAAGGCAGCCCATATCTGAACTCTCTGGAACTAGAGACCTTGTCCTGACCTGAAGTCGGCCACATTCAAACTGACCAATGAAAACCCTGTAACTACGCTTCTTGCTTCTGTACCGCGCGTTTTGCTTCCCAAAACATATATAAACCCATTACCCCGACCTAAAGGCGCACAAGTCCTGTGAGAGACTTTGTCGCCCCAGGTACCTGTGTATCTAAATAAACCTCTTGCTGTTTGCATCCGTACAAGTGGACTCACTGTTCCTTGGGAAGGGTCTCCCCAGAGGAAAGACACTCGTGGAGGGTCTTTCAGACAGACTAGGTTTTCAAGCCTTCACTGTGTGTAAAGATGTACCTGGTAAGGTAAACAGACCAAAATCAAAGCTGGGGACACTGTTGTGATGCCCTGGTGAGAAAATGAAGCATTGGGTACACATTTTTTTGACTTGATTGTAAAAAGAAAATATGAAAGAGGAAAATAGAGAAAAGTAAGTGAATATTTAGAGTATAATAAACACCAAAATTATTCTAAGTACCTCATTATTAATATTTATTGGTACTTATTCTTACAAGTAGTTCTTACTATTATATCATGACTATTAACAATGAATAATTTGAATTAAATTTTAATGAAGAAAATCCATCGGGCATCACTGTGAATAGTACTCTGTCTTGGAAGGGAAGGGAGGCTCCAGAGGATTCTGTTTTCCCATGGTCTCACAAAATTGTGCTTGGCACCTTGTTACCCACCTCAGAGGCTACTTGACTAACCACTGTACTTTCTCTAAGCTGGATGTGGAGCCCAGCAAAGTCAGGAATGGCTGTAGAGTTCCTATGAAGATGGAGTTACTAATGGGCGAAGGTATTAGCAGGTATCAACAGTGGGGCTGAAGCAGATAGGGAAGATGGGCATGGGATGAATTAATAAGCTAAAAGACAGCAGAACCAGGGAAGAGCTGGCTCCAAGGAGGCTGCTCCATGATGGTAGTCCCCATAACTGGTCACATTCCCAGTGCCTACAGAAGAAGTCAAGCAAGACCAAACCTCAGCATGGAGTAAGAAGGGGAAGAGGGTACCATGTGTCCTTCAACAGGAGATGTCTCTTAAGGGCTCACCAAGAGGTCTGCATTTGATGGTGCTGTATTTTGAAAGCATTTACCCAAATTTATGCATTAACAGCTTAAGCTCTCTAAGAGGGAATTTAAATAGGAGAGCAAATGCCTTTTTGGAGGGGGTGAGCATCTGATAAAAGGAGTTTGCTTCCTTCCTCCCTCTTTCCCCCTAATACATTTCTGCCTCTGCCCTGGGCTACCAAGGTATTTGCATAGTAGGAAATGGATCTCCAATAAAGCCCCCAGTCTCAGGTACACTGTTCTATTAGCATTAAACAAATAGGACAATTGACTCTCTAAACTCCTATAAACAAGAGTCAGAGAGGGGTAACTAGTCACGATCTCCCCCCTAGCAGAGCCACTTTTACAAGAAACTAGGGTCCAGAGTGACACAGTAAGCTGCCCAGTGTCACACAGCAGGGGGTGGGGTGTACAAAACATTGTATTCCTGTACTAAGCCACATTCATGATTCTGAAACACTGACTCATTGCTCTCTGCTTGGTGAGGAATGCCATTTCTTGGCCTCTTGAAGGGCAGAACCAGCAATCACTGCTGGATTCAAGGCAGCAGCACCTGAGACTGACACTGAAGAATGTGCCCCAAATAGATTTTTGTGTGAAGCTGGCGAACAAAGTTGTTTAGATCTGCAGGGTCTGTGATAAGAATCTGTCATAACTCATTCTCATTTCTGAGGTCCATTAGCACTGCAGTCATAAGAATAATATTGATAATGGTGGTGATTATAATAGTTTGCTCTTCACAAACAATGGTTTGATACTTGCTGTATGCCAAACACCGCTCTGAACACTTTACATGTCAGAACTCATTCGCTCTTACCATACCTGGAAAAGACAACTGACATTCTCATCATGCTCTGTGAGGGTCTAGAATCAATATAAAGGAGACAAGTTCCTCTGTACATATCAGTGAGAATAAACTGAAGTGGGAAGACCCACCCTAAAGGTGGGCAGCATCACTCCATGAGGTCGGAGTCCAGGACTGAACAAAATGGAGAACGTGAGTGGCCAACCTCAATTCACTCCTGCCACCATGCCTTGTTTGCCATACCAACGTAAATCCCTCCTTCAAGTAACTTGTTAGATATTTTTGTCACAGTAACGAGCAAAGTAACTAACATAGACCCCATTCAGGTATAGAAATTTAGATAATTGTTCTTCCCTATCTGGTCAGAAATCAGGATAGATAAGATTGGAATTCAAGTAGAGAGAGAAACTAGAAAAAGAAATGCCTATTCATTATTCTCCTTTACCTGAAACTATGAAATGATTCTCTTCCTAGAAATGAACATAATATTTACAGAAGATTGGGGGACTAGAGGTGAAACTTTCCTACCTTGCGATAGACCTGAACTTACAGGTAACTGAGGACTTCTGGATACACTTACTAGGTGAGTCTTCTGTGCAGCATTCATTAGAAAGGGAGAAGGGGATTATCATATAGGCTGCTGAGGCTGTCAGCATGGGGGTTTGGGAATGTGATATCACTGGATCTGAAACTTTTATAAAGGCTGAGGATGTGTACAGATTTGTAGTCAGACTCTAGTGATCCTGGAGAACTGGTTGCAACTAATTACCATCCAGAAAATTTCAACAGCATTTGGGAAGAGAGAAGTTAAGGTGATCAAAGGGGAGATGAGAACTCCACAACCATCAAGGGTACCAAAAAAGAAGTTCAAAGGTAGAAAAAGACCTCAGTGTGAGGGTGAGTCTATGGAAAGAATCAAGCCAACATTTTGGCCTCTGAAGTACTTATACATAAGAGGGCTCATAAGTTCATTCCTGGTGCACAAGAGCTGGAAAATCGGAGACTGTGTGCAGACAGCAGATGAAGAATAACATGACAAGCAGTGCTGGAAAATGGGTGTCTGAATGAAGACTCCTAGAGCTTTTGTGTGGCTCACGGAGTAACAGCTATGCTCCTTACCAGTCAGTTAAGCTTGTTGCCACTAGCTGACACTTAAAATTCTCACCTGGTCTTCAACTAATAAACATTCCTGGTGTTTTTTTCACCTTATTTTCATGACTTTGTGACTTTTCAAATAACTGTCCCTCCCAAGAATATCCTACTTTTTCTGTATTATCTGCCTGTCTGTTATTTTTCAAGCATTAACCTAGATACACCTCTTCTGTAAGACTTTATATGAGCATTCCTGGCAGAGGATTGCCACATAGCATGAC